GCACCGTACCTTAAATATCTTTTTAATAAAGGTAATTATGACAAAATTAACTCAGAGCTTTCTCAGGTGGACTGGCAGTCCGCATTAATGTCCAAACCTCTGGAGGCAGCTATCGATAATTTTTATGCCATCTTCTCTTCGATAAGGGATAAGTTTATACCCCGTAAGAGGGTTACTAAAGGACGTTTTCCAATATGGTTCTCTCCAGCATTAAAAAAAGCTCTCAAGGAAAAGTATAAGTACTTGAGAAAGTTTAAAACTTACGGAAACCGTGCTGATGAGCAATCTTTTAAAATCTTGAGGGATCGTTGTAAAACATTGGAAAAGCAAAGCTACCGTGATTATATTAACTCGGTTGAGATTTCATTAAGTGAAAACCCGAAAGCCTTTTGGTCATTTATTAAATCAAAATTGGGTACTAATGACATTCCTAGTAGTTTGAAACTCGGTGACTCAATTCTGAATACAGGAGATACCATTTGTAATGCATTTTCTAATTACTTTCATTCCAACTTTTTAATAAGCCCTTTGTCACAAAAAAGTTCTTGTGCAGATGCATTTATTCCTACAGTTACTGACATCAGTGGAATTGTAATTGATGTTGACAGTGTTTCCCAACTTCTCTCGAAACTAGACCCTTCAAAGTCGGCTGGTCCTGATCTCCTTCCTGCTCAATTCCTCACTCGATGTTCAAAAACTATAGCAGTCCCTTTAACTATTCTTTTTAATAGATCATTGGTTGAGCACACGGTACCGGAAGTGTGGAAACGTGCCTACGTCACACCAGTTTACAAGAAAGGGTCTAGATCTGACATTGCAAATTATCGACCAATTTCAAAGCTTTGCATTGTCTCAAAAGTTCTCGAGAGAATAATATACGATCAGCTTTACTCAGCACTCAAACATTCCCTTAGTGTCACTCAGCATGGTTTCATGAAGGGTCGCTCCGTTGTGTCAAACCTGGTAATCCTTAATGAACTTCTCACTTCTCATATGGACAGTGGTTGGCAGGTCGATGTTGTTTATACGGACTACAGCAAGGCTTTTGATCGGATTCAGCCCGATTTACTTGTGCGTAAGTTGCAGAAGGTCGGCGTCAGCGGAGATTTGTTGAGATGGTTGTCCTCGTACATTAATAATCGGTCGCAGGCTGTAGTGGTAAAAAATTACATTTCTGGGTGGCTTACGGTCCCTAGTGGGGTCCCCCAGGGTTCTCTGCTCGGTCCTCTCCTTTTTGCTGTTTTTGTGAATGATATTGAGCAGTGTTTTGAGTTTTCTCAACTGCTATGCTTTGCTGACGATATGAAGATTATTGCACCGATTTCTTCATTAGCTGACGCGTTTAAGTTGCAGGAGGACCTTATGAGGCTTGATGCATATTGCATTGAGAATCAACTAGACCTTAATCCATCCAAGTGCAGCGTTGTAACTTATAGTCGCAAACGGAATTTAGTGCAATTTGACTATGTATTAAAAACCTCTGTACTGAAACGTGACAAATTCATACGAGATCTTGGTGTAATTCATGACAGCAAATTGATATTCGATTCCCATGTTAACAACATTATTTCAAAAGCGTCCAAGGCTCTTGGGTTTGTAATGCGCAACTCTGGTGACTTCAGACAAGCAAAGTCACTAAAAATTTTATATTGTTCACTGGTTCGAAGTCATCTGAAATATTCATCGCAGGTCTGGAACCCTCAATATGTGACATACATATCACGTATTGAAAATATACAAAAGAAGTTTCTAAAATATTTATGTTTTCGAACCAAGGAACAATATGAGTCAAGTCGCTACATTGACTTTTGCAGGAAGCATCATCTTCTGCCACTGAAGATGCGTCGCCAGATGGCGGACCTTGTGTTTCTGCATAAAATTGCTTCTGGCTCCGTTGACTGTCCAGAACTTCTGTCTCGAGTCGCCCTTAGAGCCCCTGTGAAGTCTCTTAGAATTAAGGCCCTTATATGCGTCCCTCCCGCTTCCTCAAACTTTCGGCAGAATGCATATTTCCTGCGAGCAGGTAATAACTTTAATAATATGTCGAAACGGGTTGATCTCGATCTTTTTAACACTAGCGTTGCATCGGTGAAGCGAATAATTAATGGGTTGTTTTTTGACAGTTAGTTTTTATTAGTATTTTAGCAGTTAAGTGGTGGCTTGAGTCAAATAGTAATTATATTAATATTTATTAATTGTTGTGTTAATTCTTCGGTAGTATTTATATTTTATTATTTAAGTAGTGTTTTTGCCGTATTAATTAGTGCTTATATATTTATTATGTCTTTATTAGTGGGAACCTGTAATTGGCTTTCTATTACTATTTAAATTGTTATTCTGTGTCTGTAGCTGTTGGTTTTCCTATAAATAAATAAATAAATATTCGTTTTTCATCGACAAAACCGAGCATATCTGTAGGCACCTGATCGACATTGTCGATCGACAGTAACGATCGACAAAATCGAGCACATCTGTAGGCACCTGATCGACAATGTCGGGCAAATTTGTAGGCACCTTTAACTTAATGATGAGTTAAGCAAGATACAATTTCCCCACTTTTGAGGGAAATGTTATTCCATGGCATCATTATTTGTATATTTGTGTGCGTGCCGACGAGCGTAGTTACAAGTTGCTTACGCCTACATGAATTTGGTTTTTGCCTCACTTGTGACAGTTCGTTTGATATGAAACTATCATTCTATGCCATTGACTTACAAATAAATGGACGACGGGTCTAATACAAAAACCACGAAAAAAATGTCCCAAGTCAACCTATTCGAACTTTAAATTGTAATGTCATCGCAGTATCGCGCTGTCAGTAGAACAAATGAAGACTAAAGCGGAGTTTGGCGCTCTGTATACGATTTTAGCGCCTTACAAGTGCGGACACTTTTTAGTGCGGCTATATAGTTTTAGTAGTAGGTTAATTTTCGGTTTTAGTGAATATTTATATAAAAATACAAGTTGAAACGCGTTACTTCCTTGTGGAATGTGATGTTATCTATTTTATGTTTGTCTGACGTATTTTTACACTCATTTACCGCATATTTCGTCATTTTTAGCTAGAATTCTTGATCTGTTCGCGGTGCAAGTTGACCTTGAGCACTGAAGGCCCGCCCGCTCGTGTAGGCCCTTTTGGCGCGCTTCAATTTACCTCACTTAGCGTGTGCGGACTAGGTTTCTATGCATTATTATTCTAAGTATATAGTAATATAGTATGGATACTTAAGTCGAGGGTAAAATGAGTTTTATGAACGAGTTATACACTCTACTTTTCACTTCGATTGCGAGGAAATTAAACAGCAATATTACAAATAAACGATAACGCCAACTATTACCAAGAAAAAATAAGAATTTTCCGCCAATGTACTACACGTGACTCAGGTCGGACTACATAATGCTCAGTTATATTTTACAAGCTTTTATTTTTTATGCATTTCTATTTCTTATAACCAATTAGAATTACTATTGCCTACTCTTTAAATTTTGTAATATAACACGGATTAAAAAAACAAAAGAGAAACTTTATTTTGTAAAGTCTAGTGTGCGTGGCTGTTGGCGCAGGCGTCATGTACTAATTTTAGATGTATTAAGTTTTCTGATATGCACTTTAATATTTCCCTTTGTAAAACACGAGTTTTATTTTTATTTATAACATTATTATTCACATTGATTCTAAACAAATTAATTCGTAATTTGTTTAGGAAACATAGATCGCGGGACTTGAAACATAAACACTATGTAAAAAATCCAATTATTGAATATTGAATTGACCAATGCTTACTCTTACAATAAAAAACGTGCTTATTTTAAAAAGCAAACTTTTTAAAGTGCTTTTCGTTTAAATCTCTACCCAGCAGCTTAACGACACGCCGTGTCGCCCGTTGACCTGTCCGTTAGTCGCCATAGAGAACATTATTATATATGAGAAGTCAGTCGCCATCGGGCGATTGTCGACGTCGGATCTGTGTCGAATTTTCTCCGCCCGTTCTTATTTTATTCATATTAATTTACACCGCGTGTATTGTGAGACGTGAGGGACGATCACAACACCACACCTCACCTCCTAAAATAGGCTTGCGTTGAAAAACTTCGCCTTAAGGTAGTAAGTTCAAACATTCCGTCGACTCTCACCACCCGCGCGTTTTGCGGTGACAACTCTACGTTATCCCCGTTTAGAGCGATCTATTTTAATATTTTTATTTTTGTACGAAAGTAAAATATGATGAATTATTAAACGTCATGGAACACAAATTTTTGTTTAATATTTTTTAACCGACTTCAAAAAAGGAGGAGGTTCTCAATTCGTCTCTATGTTCTTTTTTTTTTATATGTATGTTACGCGATAACTCCGGTATTTGTGAACCGATTTTCATGATTCTTTTTTTGTTGCAAAGGGGGTACTTCCATAGTGGTCCCATTTCATTTTGAAGAAAATCATCCACCTCACAGGGTCAATCATCCGCCTAACTTTAATTTAGGAGCAATTACTTTTAGCAATTATTTAGTTGATTTTGTTATTTCTCCAATTCAAGGCGTTTTTCTCTCGATATACTTTGAGTAGTGTCGAAGTGAGAACCTATTTTTATTATCTCCAGTATCAAGTCCTGTATAGTGGCGAACTAGGGGATATTTCAATGAAACTTAGCAAATAGACGTAATTCCACGTACTTTTGAGGTCGGTTTTTTTAATACTCTGTACTGAGATTATGTTTTATAGATAAGGTACAACAATAGTAATAATATATTCTTAGATAACTGTTACATTAGTATTGTACGAGAGTGGATTGAAAAGTTTGCGGCCTCACATAAAAGTACTTAATGTATTTTTTTCATACTACTCTCATTTACTTCATACATTCATTGGTTGTCACAATGCAACATTTTATTGGTGTATTAGTGGTTTTGAAATTAGAGCGAACTTACAAATGCAACGATTTAAAAAAAAATGGAGAAAGTTTATGGTGTTTGTAATATATGCTTGGGAGGTTGTTAATATCTTACAAATAATCCTGTATATTGTTCACTTACCAAACAACTCCGTTCAGAGGCAGTTTGTTGACAGTAATGTCTTTGCCAGTTGCAATCAACTCATGCCACGTCACTTTTACTTCTGCTGAGCTTGTACAATTGTAGATTCTTGTTTTTATGTCCCTGAAATTTCGAATACATAATTTTATCACTTCTAATTTTATTTTGGTAGCGGTAGAGATTCTTGTGAAAGAGTTTATGGCGTTTGTTGGGGGTTAGCTCAATAAAACAGCGTTTGTTGCTTCACGTACACGTCCGCTCACGCCACTGTCTCATGTCGTCATGGCGGGAACAGCGGCCCGCAGTGTGACATAATCTATTGTCTACGGTACATTATGGCAATACACTACAGGGTTCATTCAGGGAAGTACTTTATCAGCATTACTGCGTTCCGGTTTTGATGGATACAGGTGTTGGGGAAACTACAACAGGCACATGGGACTTGTCAATTTATGTCTTAGAGACGGGCGCAATGGCATAGCTTATCATCAGGCCCACGACATGACATGATATTATAAAAAAAAAGAATCATCGCCTGGGCACATTTAACGATTACATAATGTATACAATTATGGTACAAAAATTGGCTACCATTCCGTTTTGCATCAACGCAAATTGAGCCTTACCCATTGCTGAGATAATTCCAGGAAAAGGCGAAGATGCTGCTGACGACTACGTCAACTGGCACGTAGTCGGCATAGCTGTTGCTGTGGCAGTACATTGAGCGGATTACACCCTTGCCGGCACCTACGAAGTTGCATTACGTCAAATTCCTATAGGGTGCGTACAGATCTGGCAAATGCGCCTGTTGCGAAAGGTTCGCGAGCTGCACATGTGCATTACGTAGTGCGATCTGCTTGCGCTCTGCTCTCGCGCCACAGATACTAACATATATTTAACTGCAGTGCAGTGCAGCACGCGTGCATCCGTTTGCACTCTTATAGCTTTAAAGATACTACACTTGTTTTACATATTGTCATTAGATAATAATAACGCACACACTCGACATAGCCCCGCACTAGGGAAACCCTGTGTCGCGGGTGCCATGGACACACATAGACAACCACAAATTACACCCAAACTCACGAGAGAAATAAATGTAGGCCATACAAATATTTCTCCCGGCCCGGGAATCGAACCTGGGACTTCTGTGTGGCAGTCCGGCATGGTAACCGTTCGGCTACGGAGGCAGTTAAGGCAGATAGTCTAAGGTTTCTATTATTTTGATAATTTTTGAACATGTCATCCCCATTAGAAAAACACTTATGTAATTATACATCAAGAAACACTTATGTAATTAGGAGAATAAAGGAGAATTATATTTGATATATAATTTAATGACAACAATATTATACAATGAATTGTTAATTTTCTAATTATTGTATGCTTTTCTTATAATTTTCCTTTTTGTCTGACGATCTCAATATAATTTTTTATACTTTGACATGTAGTGCAATTTATACTGTAATGTTATATTTGAGAAAAAAAAAAATTAATCCAAAAAAAGAGAGAGAGAGTAAAGAGAGCTTTAAAATGGCCACCGTAAAGATAGCGGACAAATGTTACAAAATTAAACTATTGAAGAAAAATCACAGTAGATATGGCAGTAAGGCCGATTAGAGCCTTAAGCCCGTCCCGAATGACGAAAAATTTTACTACTAAAAATAAACCAGAATACCAAAATGTATACGAAATCTACTCGGTATTACTTGATGGCTCCGTGAAAACGGATTATTTAATTATATCACAAATAATTGTAAGTAGCATTACATTTCGTCACATAATTTTTTCATTTCATCACAAAATGCTTCCAATGCGCGCCATACCTTCCAATCTTCTGCCTTCTTCAACCAATTTTTCCCCGCCATTTTAAGAAGGTCATCCGTCGATTGCATAGGCTGCCTACCTACATTTCTATACCCTTCTTTTCGTTTTCAATCGTGCACCCTTCTACTTCTACCCCATCTACGGTCCTGTCTACAGCAATAATGGCTTGCCCATTTCCAGTTTCTGCTGGCTAACATCTTGGTTAAGACGATAAGATTAATTTTTCTCCAGATCTCTGAATTCCTGAATCGATCTCGGAGAGAGATACCCAACATAGCACGTTCCATAGCTCTCTAGGTGTGCCATAGACCATGATTGGGTGGACGTATTGCTCATATGTTCGACCACGGAATATTTTTGTACCGCGTCACATCTACTCAGATAGAGACACACTTCGACACTATTCGACTAGCATAGAACTATGTGGAACCTTAGAATAATAACGCATAGAAACCTAGTCCGCACACGCTAAGTGAGGCAAATTGAAGCGCGCCCAAAGGGCCTACACGAGCGGGCGGGCCTTCAGTGCTCAAGGTCAACTTGCACCGCGAACAGCTCAAGAATTTTAGCTAAAAATGACGAAATGTGCGGTAAATGAGTGTAAAAATACGTCAGACAAACATAAAATAGATACTAACATCACATTCCACAAGGAAGTAACGCATTTCAAATTGTATTTTTATATAAATATTCATTAAAACCGAAAATTAACCTACTACTAAAACTAGCCTACATGAATTTGATTTTTGCCTCACTTGTGACAGTCGTTTGATATGAAACTATCATTCTATGCGTTATTATTCTAAGTGCGGAACATTCTAGGTCTCGCTCCATCGGATCATAAAATAAATTTTGGATTTAACTGTCAATGCAATATACGAGGTTTTTTTTGTCATAATGGCACAAAATTAGGAAATATTTAAAAGAACAGTTATATTATTTTCAATTTAGTGCAAAACAACATTCAGATACTATATGAAACGCTCTTACCGGATACATTTTTATTATTGCTATTATTTCGACAGCACAATACAGAAAAATGAACCCTTAATTCACTCAAAATATTTTTGGTTTACGTAAAGGCTTAAAAGAGCGTCCACGTACAACAAAGGTTGATTATTAAAGATATATCATAACAATTGCTAATTGCTACAAGGCCCACTTCACACTTACCCAATTTTGTTGTTCCATGTGTTCGACGTTTGAGGTTATCGGTAATGTTATAGGAAAATTATAAAACATATATAATATCTATACAAGGTACATGCTACATTATTCTCACCAATGAGTAAGCCGGTCGGTCCATTGATGTTATCTGTCCAGCCGGGCAGGGGTTCCCAAAGTATTGGTATCACTGTTGTAAAAGATACGGTTGTGTCAAGTGTCGTTAACAACAATTCGTTTTTTATATAGTATAAAAATATAACAGAATACTGTGTTAGTGAGTCACTACATATATTGACACGCAATCCTATTAAGTCGGTCAAACAAAGCTAAAGAGCATTTTTATACACGCCGTAAACGCGCGTCAAACTTATATGTATACTCCACTGGAGTTTACACTTAGAATTTCATGTAGTCGTTTCATTTCAAAAAACTAACTGAAATTAACAAACGAGTCCCGTATGAAATACGCTGTCTGCATAGGCTCTTATGTCCATGTGGGTACTTACTTAATAAAAGCGAAAAAGACGTTGATGTGCGGTTCCATGCAGCAGCGAAAACAAAGATTTTTCTGAGCCGATTATGCGTTAATATGTCTGGTAAGTACCGTAACATCTAGCGTATGCTTTATAAGAATGTAAAGTTTAAAATATGGAAACTCACCGATAGAAGGCCTAAGTATAATGACGGGGAGGGATTCCATGGCGTCGACGGCCAAGCTTTCCGACAGGGCTTTCGTGTAGGCGTAGTAGTTCGGATACGTTTTCCGGAAGCTGTGTAAACATTTTGCCGTTATTTATTTTATTTATTTATCGTCTCGAATTTACATTGTAGAATGTACAATGGAAGTATGTAAGGGAATTTCTCCAAAGCAGCAATTTTCTGTACCTATCCATGCACTAAATTCTATTTATTTATCAAAACAAAAATCTACAAAAAATAGAGTATAAACCTTTCGGACCTAATGGGAAAAAATCCGAAATGCCTAAAATCTGAACAGGGCGTGTTCCGAATGCAGAATCCAATACAAAGTGTCATTTTTCTCAAAATTGAAACCGTATATCGATATTAGACTTTAGTTCACGTATAATTAATTAGATGATAGTACTAATAATCTGAATTTCACAATAAACTAGACAACAGTTTTATCACAATGCCAAGATTGGTGCGTGTCCTAGGTTTAGGCGGGAATTCGGTGGTCGTTACCAGAGATGCGCCGAGTTCAAGTTTTACCGAGTAACCGAGTACCGAATATTACTCGGTTTAATGTTTGCCGAGCCGAGTACTCGGCCGAGTTACTCGGTTCAATACAACTGGAACGCAATGATCCTAAAAGTCCCATTGCTCTAGAATTAGACCGATATGTCAATGAAAGTTTATTGTCGCGAGAGCAGAGGCCTTTCCAATTGTGGGCAGGGCATAAAACAAGATATCCAAAACTGGCACAGTTAACACGAGTGTTATCATGTGCACCTGCAAGGACTTTGTAAAGCGAGCGGTTATTTTCCGAAGCAGGTAATGTGTATGAAGAAAAAAGGAACAGACTATTACCTGATATATAATAATAATGTAAACTTTCTTTTTAAATTACGAAATTGCTAAATTGTTACAATTGTCTAAAATTTCTAGTAATAAATCTCTTTTGATTTTTAAAAATATATTGTTGGTTTTACTTTATTATGTCTATAGTTGTAATGCTTTATTTTAACCGAGCACTCTTCTATGAACCGAGTTATTCGGCCGAGTACGAGTAGTAAAAAAACGGCCGGGTACACCGAGTACCGAGTAGCAAATGAGTACTTGGCGCATCTCTAGTCGTTACCAATCACGCTACACATCACAAGTGAAGCATTTTAGAAGCTTCGCAATTAGTTCGTATTATTCGTCCACTACGCCTCTGCTGGAGAGAACAGGTGGATGATTTGTTGCCATCAAACACACAAAGCGCTGCAACTAAACCATCCCTTCAAATTTTTCAACCAGGAGTGCCGCCTTCTACCGACACTTCGTTTTCCAGCGATTTTGCCTCGAGTAATTTGTACTTATTTTTTCTCATGACGTGGCCGAAGTACGACATCTTCCTGCACTTAATGGTTATAAAGCTCCACTTTTTTCTTCAGTTTATTCAACATTTCTACATTTGTGACCCGGTCACGCAACGAGATTCTCAAAAAATTCTATAATATACTATATGCTATTGAATATTAATACTCACTTTGGAGCCATTGTTTCTAATGTGTCCACGTCAAAGAGTTCAGCGGCTGCGATGACCTTGTGTGGGTCTGCGGGAGGCGGGTATGCCTTCTCCTCTAAGAGATTTTCGTGAGGGTGGCAATAGGCCGTCGAAAGATGGACGAACAACTGCGAAAGGAACAATATAACTCTGTTAAAGAAAGGTCTGGGATAAATAGTAGCAATG